TAGACACTAAACCTGAACCATAGACACCACACCTGGACCATAGACACTACACCGGGACCATAGACACTACACCTGAACCATAGACACTAAACCTGAACCATAGACACTACACCTGGACCATAGACACTAAACCTGAACCATAGACACTACACCTGGACCATAGACACTAAACCTGAACCATAGGAACTTCAGCTGGACGACTCATTTTGTGTTTGTCTTTTTCCCGTCCAGGCAGATGAACCTCCATCTTGAGCTTCTTGTCGTCATGGCAGGAGGTTTCTTCCAGTTTTAAAGGGGTTGTTTCTTTCCACTGTCTCCAGTGAGCTGCTCAGGATGGAAGATTGCAATGAAGAGAACGTTCAACACACGTTCTGCTGCTTCCTCAGATAAACAACTTTTACTAACATTTTATAATGGCTTGAATGTTTTCGTTTTGTTCTGCTTTTAATTTAAGGATCTCCATTAGTCGTTACTGTAGTAAAGACTATTTTTCCTATGGTCCACACACACAAACATTACAATACACAAATGTTACAAACATTACAACTCAAAATCTCACATCAAAAGACGAGACACAACAACAAGTCGTCGACTACGATAATTCCAAAACTGTCAAAAAAAGAGAAAAAACACAAACGCTACATTTCACCCATAAACTGATAAATTCACTCAGTTCCATATTATGTCTTAACGTGTTTTAGATCTTTAAAGGTTCTTTTTAAAACCATCATGATCAATGTTATGGAGTTATTCCAGCATGAAATGGGTCTTTATGTAGCCGTTTGTCTGAGGGCTTGTACCCGAGGTGATGACCTTTGTTGTAGACTGGCTCTATAGAAATAAACTGAAAATATTAACATTTTTCATTCAACCTTTATTTATACAGGTTGGTCTCCCTGAACCACGAGGAGCCATTTCAATGTTGCACGCTGACTGAATAAAGATGGTCTGACAGCAGCATTACCTTGTCTCTTTGAGAGTTGCAGTACTGAATCCAGCTCAGGTAAACCCCACAGAAGCTGTCCCTGGAGATGCCTGCGAGCCGATGGTCATAATCCTCGTCTATGTTGGGATTAAACGTGGGGTCCAGGTCCACGTAGTTCCTCTCTGCACACCCTCGCAGACCCTCCTTCATGGTCTCGTTAGCAAGCCACTCCTCCAGTTTGGGCGAGGCGACCACATAGTAAATGATACCCTGAGGCCACAAAGAGATTTAGATTTTGGATCATTTCAACAAATCATTAGTTTTTCCAAACTAAAGGCGTCACTTGAAGGTTGCTTGGCAGCCATCTTGAATGGGGCTGACTAAACGTTTATCACTTGTAGATGTAAAGATGAAAAAAAAAAGTTATTTATACCCTTCATTAAAGAGAAAAACACACAAAGCTCACTGAAATCCCTGGAAAGTCATAAAAGTCAGAATATAAAAATAATAATAATTATCTAGTGAAACCAAGTCAGTTTTTGAATTTTGTTTGTTCTAAATTCTAAAGCAACAATTTGATTTGTAAAAAAAAAAAAAAAACTTGTCAGTTTTAAGTTTGTTCAATATGTGCGTTTTTCTTTCTTTGATAATATAATTGTACATCCAGTTGTTACCGTTTGTGTGTATTCATTAAATATTTTGCTAACACAACAGATGGGAACATTCCAGCCCTCTAACGTTTTGGAGTCGGGTGTTAAAATGTCGTCTTCACTGAACGTTGTGGTCTTACAAACCTTGACGTAGTAGGTGGTGAGGATGCGCCTCAGGTCAAACACCTGCAGCATGGAAGCGGCGCTGTTGTCAGTGATGCTGTATCCTTCCAGAACGTACTTGGTGACCAGAACCTCCCAGGCCAGCCAGCGCTGGCCAAAGGCAGCGTTGAACGACAGACTGTGGGGGAGATGGCCCGGCTCACAGCAGCAGCAACCATCATCTTCCTCAACTCCTTCAGTGATGGCCTCCACCTCTCTCTGCTGACAGTAAGTTCCTGAGAAGAAAGGAGAACATCGAGCCAACATCTGCCTGGCATGGAACACGCGTGTGATCTTCATTTCAGCTAAATAATTAGTTCTATTACAAAGAATTTTTTTTTTAAATTAAATTAGTTTTTACATCTTGTTTGGTCCAAACTAGGACACAGAGATATTTGGTCCTCACTTTAAATGTTGAAGTGTTGTGTCCAGGGCCTGCTTGAACAGGATCCAGGAACTCTTATTTTGACAGGGTGTTCTGGTAACCGTTTGCTTAGATCCCGTAACTCTCAGGCTTACTAATAATAAAGTTATGAACAAATATGACAGCCTTTAACGAATAAAACTTAACGTTTATGTAAACTGAAAATAATTACATAAACACTCATTTTAAACACAACAGCCACATACGAGTTTTAGTCTCGTATATGATCTGCCGCTTCAAGTAAGCATTTCTGCTCCTTAAAATACGTACGCCTCTAAAAGTCCAACGTCATCACGCTATTTTATTAAAAAAATAATAATAACCGAAAATATAATTAAACAGCACAAAAAAAATTGCTAATCAGTTTTATAAGTGGGTCATTAATAAAATTCTGATTATTTTTTAAAAACACAAGAGAATGTTCGATGTGTTTTATTCACATCACATATCGAAACAACGGCGCTAATTTGTCAAAATAACAGATGAAAATGTTGAAAAGACAGTCCAATTTACTTTAATAATAAAAAAAAGTCTTCTCGTCGTCCTTAGTTGGACCAGTGAGAACTGAAGCACCTGAAGATGGCGGCAAACGAGATTGGAGCAGGAGCGAGTTAACCGGGCAGTCGTACGGACGCTTGACAGAAGCGGAGCTGCTCTATTCACACACAAGCAGAGCGCTCTTGTTGTTGCTCTCTAAAATAGTTACTGAATCAAGTGTTTATGTCGGTAAACGCAAGTGTTTAACCTGTTAAAATACACCAGAATGCAGTTTGTTAAACATTTTCTGGGGGAGGACCCCCAGAACTGAGACAACTTCTGTTGTGACTTGGAGCTATAGAAATAAATAGAACTGAAATATTGTGAGTCTACATCTGCAACTGATGAACGCTGGAGGCAATCCATATCTCGATGGCTGCCACAGCTAAGGACAGTTTTCACGCATGTTCCTCAGAAGTAGAAAGAGCAACTTATGAAAGTCAGCGGAAGCTAATTTGACATTTGGACTCCATCAGATCTCATGTCGTGTTCGTAAACATGGCAATATTAGTCACAGTTCTTGCACATGGTAAGACCTGCTCATAATATCTGTAATATTTTTAATATTACTTAAAATAACCAGTTTAAACTCTCGTCAGGACCTGTTGGTGTCCTCACCTCTGAACTCCAGTCCCCGGAGCTGGAAGGTCACCAAACCATTGCCGATCTCTATAAGATGCACCAGAGCGTTCAGGTAGTCCGAGGCCAGAATGAAGCAGTCTCCGGTGCTGAAGTTCCCCCAGCGGCCCAACAGGAGGTCTCCACAGAGGCTGTGCTGCAGGGACCGCGTCAGATGCTCGTAGAAAATAGAGTTCAAGTTGTTGTCGTCTGAGCCTTGGGAGGAACAGATCAGAAAACATGCTGAAAATCATTTACAACCAGAGACTAAATGCAAGACAGCCGAATGACAGCTAAAAAAATCTAGCGTTAAGGTAAGTCTAACTAAAAGGCTAGCAACAAACTGAAGGTTCTTTCAGAAGACGCTTCAGTCGGGGACTGACGGCTCCTCGGTGTGACTTCTGTATAAAGAGAGGGGGTGGGGGGGTCGAAGACAGCCCACAGCTGCTGTGCCTCCTCTTGGAGCGAGGTAGTAACAGCCGAAAGGACGGATGTGAAAAAGTCTCGGTGCTGCTGCTCAGTAATGTGATGAACCGATGACAGAGTTGGATTTCCTTCTCGCGGGATTAAACATTTATTACCGATGGACCAACGATGATGACGCAGAGACGCACAGCAACTTAAACATTATTTCAGTAAGTTCAGTAAATGACACACGTCCGACACATTTAATGCGCCGAAGCTCCACGCCGCTCGGCTTCGTTTCTGAAAACTCACGTCTGTGCGGGACGCGAGCAGCTTCATGTGCGATTTATGAACGGGCGGACCGAGGAGACAAGACGACCATTCTGAGGAACGGTTTTATCACAGAACCTTCAAATCAACGTAATACAATAAAAACAAAGCTAAATCAGATTTTACAACAACGTTTTTGAAGAAGCTGAAGTGATTTCAACTCATTTCTGTGGGGAAATTTGCATAAATGAAGTATAATCAGTGTTTGCTTGCTTTAAGTCACCTGGATTTCTGTCGAGCTGAGACGCCAGCCGGGTGTTCGAGTGATCAACTCTCTTGGTGCTGTGGATTAAAACAGAAAACATTCAGCTGGTCGGCACGAGGAGTTCAGTTGTTCTGGTTTTGTTTTGGCGACTTGTACTTATAGTCCCTCTCCCAGAACTTGACAGGGCGGATGTAGGAGGTGATAAAGATGGCGCTGCCCAGGAAAGGGTTGAGGGGAGTGGAGAAGATGGCCGACACCGCAGCCTGGACGAACAGCATGGCAGAGTCTGGAGGAGCTCAGGTCAGGGCTACATAATCCCACATGGAGTGAAAAGGAGCTTCACTGAAAGCCGTCCAGTCGTTGATATTTTACTAAACGTACAGACAATCCCTGACAAGTGGAGTTGGTGCAGTGAAGGATACGAGGCACAGCAAAGGGCTGAGCGAAGGCGTGGAAGGCGGAGCCCCATGTGATCTGCCACGGAGCGATGTAGGTGTAGACGAAGTGCAGCTTGTAGAACAGCTCCCACAGCTGAAGGAGAACGACAGAAGAACAGAAAATGGCTGAGCTCTGTAGAACCAGTGAACAGGATCTAAACCAAACAAGTCCAGCTGCTCTCTGACCTTCTGGAAAATGAAGATCTGAAATGTGGACATGCTGGGTGTTTGTCTCACCTTACTGAAAACTATGGACATAAGGAAGAGGTCCAGCAGCAGCGTCTCAGACAGGTGACGGTAGTCGAACGTGAAGAACAGGATGGTGAACAGGATGGTGATGTACTGATAGGTGGGGCTGCTGTAGGAGGAACGAAGCAGCTTCAGGCCGGCGACAGTGATCATCAGAGCACCAACCCTGAAAAACATCACGAAGAACTGGACTCAAACTCTGATGGATCCACAGGAATCACTCCAAACATCAATTTACTGCAACCTGAAGGTCCTGCATCTCCTAAAGAGCTGAATGTTGCAGGGATCAAAGTAGAAACAACTCTTTGGACTGAAAGGTTCTCAACACCTAGAGGTTACCCAGCACCCCCCAGAGGTTCTCAACACCTAGAGGTTACCCAGCACCCCCCAGCACCCCCATACAGGTCACTGCTCAAAGGTTAACACCTAAAGAGGAGCAGACTGTAGTGTGTACACCTCAGTAAAAGTACACGGTACAGTGTGTACACGACCTCAGTAAAAGTACACGGTGTGTACACGACCTCAGTAAAAGTACACGGTGTGTACACAACCTCAGTAAAAAGTACACGGTACAGTGTGTACACGACCTCAGTAAAAGTACACGGTACAGTGAGTACACGACCACAGTAAAAGTACACGGTACAGTGTGTACACGACCTCAGTAAAAGTACACGGTACAGTGTGTACACGACCTCAGTAAAAGTACACAGTACAGTGTGTACACGACCTCAGTAAAAGTACACGGTACAGTGTGTACACGACCTCAGTAAAAGTACACAGTACAGTGAGCAGCAGTCGACTCGGAGCAGACCACCTCCAGATGTCCATCACTAAATGTCAGCTGAAGTTGGAGCTAAATGTTAATCAGAGCGTTTCTTCCGGTTCACAGCCGGACTCAACCCGTCGTTTTACTCGCAGGTCCAATGTTTTAAACAGGAAGTCAAACCGGCTGAAATAAAGTGGACGCACGTTTGGACCTTCATCCATTCACATGATGTTCTCCAACTCGTGTGAGCAAACGTGAAAAACGAGACGGATCCTCACTCTGTGTCGAGTTTCTTTGGGCTGGCCAGTTCTCTGGCGCTGCCGCTCAGCTCGTTGAGGATGACCAGCGGGTAGAGGACGTTCTTCTCCACGAACAGCAGCCACACATGAAGCTTCTCAAACCACATCAAGTGAGCCGCATCTGAGAGGAGACGAGAGGGGACGGGTGAGACTCAGGACAGCTAGACAACCTGAAGACAGCTTCTCAGTGTGCACGGAGCTTCTGCTGGGCGACGACAGACAATCCAACACGAGCTACATGGAGGAAGAGCTCTGACCTCTGTGGGAACGCTTCTGGAGTGAACTGGACCTACCTCTGACTTCAAACTGGTAGTACTCCTTAGTTTTGAGCAGAGGGTGGGAGAAGCAGTACCAGGGCAGCTGCTTGCGGACCTGAGGTAGCAGGTAGTGGGTGAGCAACCCCACCGCCCCCAACAAGGCGTACAGGATGTAACTGAGGAAAGGCTGAGGAAACAAGAACACCTCGTTGATCAGTCGGTCCAACTGTCTGGAAACTTCCGAGTGCAATCTTCGCTCAGTTCTCCCGTGATGGAGCTGAAACGTTCGCTGTACCTGCAGGGCTATGAACACGGTGCTGACATGGATGGCAAAGTAAAGGACAGCGTTGACCACACACACGATCAAGTCCGACTGCAGCCGTTCGTTCTGCACATTAAAACAAAGAGAACACGAGGGCTAAGGGAGTTCTCCGTCCTTCATCTGAACTGCTGTAGCAACAGTGAGGAACTCACCACTGAGGCCCTCAGCTTCTCTGGCAGAGGGTCATGCACTTCAGAGAAGGGGTCCTCCGGGTTCTTCTCCTTTACTTTGGGTAAGATCTTAGATTGTATCAACGAGCTGCGAGACAACAGACAAGAATTACACACAGTACGAAGCCACCAGGTGAACCACTCTGGAAATGTTTTAAACTTTCTGAGAAAAGTCAGTAAGTCACATCTGGGAGGAGACGAGAGAAACAAACATTCCTATTTTATTTATTTGAGACAGAAACTTCCTGGTTTCTGTTCATGTTCAGATCATTTAGATGCATTCTGGGTCAAATGAAGAAGTCAGGCTGCTTCTCAGCTGCAGAGGGTGAACATATGTTCTGCTGGTCCTTCTGCAGGGTCGCCACAGCAAGTCCTCATCCTCCATCTGTCCTCATCCTCCATCTGTCCTCACTCTGTCCTCTGCATCCTCTGTCCTCACTCTGTCCTCTGCATCCTCTGTCCTCACTCTGTCCTCTGCATCCTCCGTCCTCTAACTACCTCCATGTCCTCTCTAAATGCATCCCTATATCTCCTCTGTCTTTTTCCTGGCAGCTGCATTTTAAACATCCTTCTACCAATGTACCCACTGTCCCTCCTCTGGACATGTCCACACCACTGTCCCTCCTCTGGACATGTCCACACCATCTCAGTGTGTCCTCTCTAACTTTATCTCCCAGTTGTTCAACTTGTGCTGTACCTCTGATTATCTCAGTCCTGATCTTCTCCATCCTTGTCACTCCTAAGGAGAACCTCAACATCTTCATTTCTGCCACTTCCAGTTTTGTCTCCTGTCTTTTTGTCCATGTCTCTGTCTCCAGACCATACAACATAGCTGGTCTCACCACTGTCTTGTAAACTTTTCCTTTGACCTTTGCTGCCACCCTTCTGTCACAAATCTCTCCTGAAACTTTTCTCCATAGTTTCAAACACTTCAAAACTCTGAGAATGTCCCGTTCAGACTGAAGCATCTGTAAGATGTTAAGATGTTCCGTCTGTTCGTCAGTCCTGCAGCAGTAAATGATAAATGTGTTGTGGTCTAAGGTTGCAGAGGTGGCCTGTAGGTGGTGGGAGGGGGTTTGACGGGTCAGTTTCTCTGTTGTTCAGTAGAAGAAACGTTCGGTGTCTCTTCACGGACCAGATCGTTTCCTGAGCTTTTAGAGAACTGCTTTGGTTCCCTTCATGTGAGCTGGGTGAGGTCAAAGAGAGCGTGACTCCAACATGTGGAGTGGCTGCAGAGCCATGTTTGTGCTGCAGGGCTGGGAGCTCACATGAGGACAGAAGGGTCGCTGCTCTGACGGCTCAGGTGGTAGGACACTGCCACCAACAGGCCGCAGAAGACGGAAAACAAGACGGGGATGTGGTGCGGCTCCCAGGTCTCCTGGAAAACAAAAAGCGACACTCAGCATGTTTGTTACAGAGACGACTCTAAACTCCTTACACATGAAGACGCAAAGATTCATGAGTTTATTTACGTTTGTTTTCTGACTGAAAGTACAAACTACTGGACAGAACTTCAAAAATCACCAGACTGTTCCTTTGCTGGCAAAGTTTGAAGCAAAGATCCCGTGTGATGTGCTGGAAGTAACTTTCAGCAGTTGTGCAGGGTTGTTTAGCTGCGGCAGCCATCTTGGCTCTTGCATCTAATAACGAATGCATCCACTCATTCATGAGATATTTTGTTGACATACAGACACAGAACTGGCTGAATCGAGTTGGACGATCTAATAAATTTAATCCAACTGAGAGAGTTGGAGCCAACGGGAAGCTCAGTTCTTACCTTCAGAGCTCCATAACAGAAGCCGTAGAGTAAGGCCACGGTGATGACGCTGCGCAGGACGCTGTACAGCGCTGACATAAGGCTTGTGGAGGCTGCAGAGAGGACAGACAGGACTGAGACGGGTCAGACAGGCAGTGGGTGTCCAGCCGTGGCCTAAAGACACAACACTCACCGTTTCCTCCGAACACGTGAATGTCCAGCTGCTCGAAGAGGTACATGACGAACGTGTTGACCTGAGGCAGCAGGCCCATGAAGAAGACGAGGGGGAAACACAGAAGAAAGACTGCAGGGAGACACGAGGGGACACACACTGACATGGACATCTCTGAAGTCTCAACCTGTTACAGGACACGCCTCTGAGGCTGCAGCAGGTAAACACGTCCTGGGTTTCATTTTACAGACATGCTTGGCGTCTAAACAGGACGAGACACGATCCTGGGTCAACGAGACCAAAGCTGGAGGACACTTTAATACATTTAGTACAAACTGAGCTGAACGGTGTCCCCGTCTGACTCCTTCAACCATCTCCAACCTGCTGACGTCTCATGAAAGCTGTGACCTTTGAACTCTGGAGGTCAAACTCTGTTTCATTAAACCTGATCCAGGTCCAGACCTTTATCTAATGCTGGTCTAGATTCAGACTGGAGATCCAAGCTTCTTAGAAATGCCTGACAGGCTCTGGAATCGAACCTTTGTTACAATTATTTACTGAAAATAAACAAACATTGGCCTTATTGATCAAACTGTTGACGCCACACTCTTCAGACAGAAATAGCAAACTGTTACACACACACACACCTGTATATGTGACTGCTGGTGGAATCGAACCCCCAACCCTCCCGTTGGAAGCTGATCCCTCTAACCCTTGAGCCACAGCTGGACCTTAGACTAGATTGTTTTGTGTTTTGCTTTGAACCATCTTTAATTATTTTATTATGTAAAAATCTTTTTCTCTCCTTTCGCCCTCTGAATGTCGAGTTTCGTTCTGTTCAGTTTGAATTCTTTTCAAATAAAAAAATAACTTTTCAGTTCTCTGGAGTTCAATTCTTCATGTGGTCAAGAAGTTCCGATTTCATTTTCTGTTAACTGGGTGCAAAATACCCAAGAACCAAGGAGACGGCAACAGAAAGAACAGAATCAGTTTAGCTGGAAAGAAAAGCCCGAACGGCTGAAGTTACCGATGATCAGGTCCCTGGCAGAGGCCAGCAGCAGCGAGCTGCTCAGAGCCACTCCGTACAGCGTGAAGCGAGACGAGCTGTTCCTCAGGCTGCCGTGGTGCAGCGCCCAGATGAGGCCGCAGCACAGGCAGAAGTACACGGGTCGGCTGTACGCTATGATCCGGTTGTGGCCCTGCACGTAGCACAAAACACCTTCATTTACAGGCCAGAGGCTGCACATCTGCAGGCCAGAGGCTGCACATCTGTTTTACTGGTTCACCATTTCATTTGAACAGTTATTAGTAATAATTACTGTAATACATGTTTATTTTAGGTACAAGCAAGTTATACAAGAATAAATCAACCACAAGGTTCACATTCACAACAGGACATGGCAAATACATGAATAAATTAATGAATGAATGGATGAATGAATGGATGAATGAATGGATGGATGAATGGACGGACGAATGGACTGAATCAAAGCAACAGGACTTGTGTAGTCGAAGAGTTCACTTCCTGTCCAGAGTGAGGTGTTTCAAGCTTCAAACAGCCTGAGATGTTCTGAACATGCAGACTGCATGCATTCCCATGTGGATGAAAACATTTCTACAAACGGTGCCATGTTTACAAGAAAAAAAAAAACTCAATTAGAAGATGGTTTTGGGAAAAAATTAACCGTTTGCAGGAACAGGTCGACAAAGGAAGAGCATGAAGTGAAAGTTTCACAGCAGAAGAGGATGCTGGTCTGCAGGTTTGTGATGGAGGCTGATGGACCTGCCCTGCATCCTCACAGAAGAAAACTCTTTACATTCACAGTTTTTCTTTTTTCAAAATGTCACATGAAGAGCAAGAAAGAAGCCCTCCATGTAAGTGGGGGAGAGGGGAAAGAGGACAAGAGACTAAACTCAGCAGCTATTTAAAGCTTGTGCCTGCAGCTGCATTAATAAAACAAGTCTTTACAGAGCAGCCTGCTGCTGCAGAGTCACAGGAGGATGGAATGGGACTACATGAACTAAATAAATACATAATAATGAAACGTATCATTTAATTATTAAAAGCATCATTAAATCATTAAATAGTCAAATATTTAGCCCGTTAGCTTTAACATTAGTTCCACAGCTAATATACTAATCATGATAGCAAAGAGTGGAAGGGGTCACCTCAGCTTTAGCCTGTTAGCTTTAGCATTAGCTCAAAGCTAATATAATAAACATGACAGCAGGGGTTTGAGGGGATGTCTCATGACATATCTACGCAATTTAAACATGAAGCCACTACTCCTTTTTGTCCTGGTCCTTAAAGTCGTCCCTCAGTGTAAAAGTAAACGTGATATAAAAGCATGAACTTACATGTCGAGGGGAGGAGGAGTCTGGTTGAACACTCTGTGAATTAAAAAGGCATAGAAAGGATGAATAATGTGTTTTACCATCTAACAGTTCTGGAGAAGAAATAAAATTAAAATAAAAAACACGAGTTTAGCACATTCACGTGTCCACTGGTGGTCGAAACACACGACAGCAACACGTGTGCTCCTCCAGTTCATGTTTTAAAGTGAAGTCCAACACGGTGCCGAGTCGTTCACTTACCTTCAGTAAGGAATACTGGCAACTTGCAATGACGAGGCAGAACTGGAAGACCCAGATGTCAGTGAAGAACCGGTGGACGAGCAGCACTGAACCCAGAAAGGCCACCAGCACAGCCAGCAGAACCGCCAGAACGTTCTCCAAAACCTCTCGGTTCCTGGAAGCAAAGGGAAAGGTCAACCAACAACTACATGAGCATTTCTCTTAATGCACACCATCCTCACCAGTTAATATCAACTTAGGTGATTATTGTCGTAACAACACTTCTTGGCAGAATTCAAGTTGGACAGCCTGATTATTTCTCCTTAAATGGCTCCACACTTGTTGTGAAACATCTGTGGGTTGAGCAGCGGAGTACTTTTCTGTCAAAGCTGAAATTCAGTCTGAACCCATCAAGGTTGAGTCAGGTCCTCTGGATGGATTCTTCTTGTTGAAACATTTTGTTTATTATCTAAAAGACTTCTTCGGTCTGAGGAGCTGCAACAAACCCAGTCTTATAAACAGCACCTTCTCCTAGTGGATCACCCAGTTTGTTGTTGACATCCAGAACCAGCTGCTCACGTGATCAAGGAGAACCATCAACCTAAACAACCGATCGTTAGTGCCCTGATGGCCGCTTGCTATTCACAGAGGGCTGAGTGATGCTAGCAATAACATCATTGTAAGAGGGAGACTGTTGGACACGGAGGCTCCGCCCCATTTAATGATGGACAGGTTCTCTTCAAAGAGTTTCCTTCACTCCTCTCTCAAACCACCTCTCTATCAAGGATGTGAACATCTTCATCCCTGAGTGACCGCTGGCCTGGAGACAAGTGTAGATATCGAAGCACTTGCTCAGCAGAGAGGGGATCTCCCCCCTGGGGATCCCCCCCAGCTCTCTCCTCCCCCTCCCCGTTTCATTGGTTTGACAGAGCTGTTGGGTAAGTGCATTGGTCAGAATTTTTTTAACCTTCATTTATCCAGGTAGTCTCATAAATACAAGTCTCTTGAGGGGGTGGGTCCTCGTGACTCATTGAGTCCACCTCATTGGTTCATTGTGGTTGACTGCTGGTCACATGGCCACAGGGAGGGATTATGGGTAAAATTTATGTTCATCGTTAATCATTTCAGTTAGCTGTTTAGCACTGTTAGCCTAGTCTGAGTTCATTATGCGTTAGTCCATTCAGTAATAACCATGAGCAGGGAGGTAGTTGTCATGGAGACCTGTGGGGGTCACTGTGTTGAACAGGAAGATAAAGTCTATAAAACACCATCTGGTGGTTGATTCTTGATCTACAACAAGAGCTGTACATCTCAGTAGCTGAGTGCTGCCACTCATGTTACAACATGAACACCCACAGCTTATATATGTACACAGTTGTATACATTTGTTTAATTATTATTATTTTTAGTGTGTGCGGCTTATATTCAGGTGCACTCTATACACCGGCAATTATGGTAGATGCATGAAATGCGGCTGGTGATTTGCATTCCTTCATGAAATAAACATTTATTCATAGCGGTACATCAAACTGGACAATATATTGTAAAATTATGACAAAGTTCCAGTGATTTTTTGCTGTTTTGTTTATTTTAAATCAGAGCTCTGATTCTAGTTGGGTACCAGAACTGCAGATCAGCAAACATTTTGAAACCAATCTAACAGTAAACGGTGAGGGTGAGGCTGCGTGCACCGTTACCTGTCGAACAGCGCCAGCAGGGTGAGCCGGTCGAAGTGCAGGCCGACCCACAGGTACGGGAGAAGCCACAGGCGGTAGTACTGCTTGGCTTTGCCGGCAGCAGCAGCAGCCGAAGCTGCACAGTTCTCTGGTCCCAGAGGGACGTCGTGGAGCTCCGGGCTCAGGTCCCCGTCTTGCTGCTCTAATAACTCTGGGTCCATCGTCAGCAGTCGGTTCAGACGGATCTGAAGCAGAAGATGTAACAAACAGTCAAACTTATTTAGGGTTAGTTTTAACCATTGATACAAAGTTTATTGTCCACACAGAAGAAACAAGCTGAACGTTAAGCATGCGTCTCTGATGGACTGGAGACCCGTCCAGGTGTCCAGTGGGTAAAGAAAAGAGATGGACTGTTGGTTTGTGTATTTCTGACAGAAGCTGGATCCTGCAGGGTCTGCTTTGAGACGTTCTGACTCCTGGGCACATGCTGCTGAGCCCTGCTGTAGATCTAATTCAGTCTTTTTGTCCTAAACGCACCACACCAGCAGGAGCTCACTCACCAGGTCGTGAGGGTAGAAGTGAACTGAGGTAGAACTGGAGAGGTGGGAGTCCGTGTCCCTGCAGGACAACAGACCACAGTGAGTGAACTATAAATGAGGCAGGGCGCATCAACACTTTATACAGCAAGTTTAGAAGTTTTACACCCACCACAGGATGTTGGAGGCTCGTCTGGTTGCAGGTTCAAAATTGACAAGAGACATTTCACATCCGCCAGCCTCATACAAGGAAGGAGTGAGCTTTCCTGGAAAACAAGTGAAGAGCAGCAGTCAGTGTCTGGAGGGCTGAAGCAGAATATCATTTTAACTGAGTCATTTCAGAAAACTCCACACGTGCATGCAGACAACTTAGAAATGCTGTGTCTCATCAGAGCAACATAGATTGTTGAGTGGAAGGGCCTCGTTGCAAAGCAGCTGTAAACATCTCTGCCACTTCCTGCTGGTCTTAAAAAGCAACGTTCTTCGTTCATTATATTCGTGTTTTAAATCAGGCTACAAAGGTTCAACACACAAACAATGTTTGTACATTTTCAGCTGCCGTCCTCGTGGCTTTTATAAAAGAAGCGTCTGAAGAGATCTCCAGTACAACGACCCGCCGCCTCTCTGAGCATCACCAACTGTTGCCACGGTAACATAAATGCAGCTACTTCAATGGACACTTCCATTACAGTTCAAGCTTTAAATGTTATGCAAGCGTCAAACCTGAGGAAACACCATGTGAAGAGGACTCAGTGATCCTGTCTAGACACAGCACAGATGTTCTTGGATCCATTTCCAGCTGTTTGTCAAAGAATAAAGAAAGGATGACTGGTTTTGGTTTGAGAAAAATGGGACGTTTAGTCACTCGTGAACCTAAGGAGCTCTGCTACACTGAGGATGACTGACCCACTTTCTGTCAGCACCGTGTGTGTGTGTGTGTGTGTGTGTGTGGGGGG